GGTGAAAAGTTAAAATCCTGATATTTGCCGTAGAAGAGGAATCCCGAGGTTCGTTTTCCCACAGCTATAAGGTATTTATCTTGCTGACAAAATGGAAACGCTTGCTCATAGTCTGCTGGAGTTGTTCTCTGGGTGTCCAAGTGAACCGTAACCTCTCCTGGCTGGTGCGGTGACGGGCATGTTTGCCTCCCGTGCCACCATGGCCATTGTCCTGCCCTGGCTCCTGAGTGGCATTGCACCTCCTGTGGTGACCCTGGCTTCTGCTCTAGAGCTGCTCTGGTGACAGTGTGTGGTGTGCACGTCACCCAGGCTGCCAGCTGCCTGCCTGAGCTGTTCCCAGGAACCTGTGACTGGAGCAGAAATGGGGGAGCAGAGAGTTAATCCCAGAAACACAGAATCCCAGAATGGTGGGGCTGGAAGGAACCTCTGGAGATCTTCCAGTCCAAACCCCCTGCCAAAGTAGGTTGATCTCAAGCAGGTCGCACAGGACTTCATCAAGGGGAGTTTGGAATCTCTCCAGAGAAGGAGACTCCACACCCTCTCTGGGCAGCCTGTCCCAGGGCTCTGGCACCCTCACAGTAAGGAATTATTTCCTCTTGTTTAAGTGGAACCTCCTGTGTTAATCATCCTAATGACAGAGGAGACTACAGAGCTCTGCAAACACCTGCAGACACCCAGCCACAGCCACCTCTTATTGCTGGAATCAATTGGAATTGCTGTGGCTCTAATGATTCACCTCACCCCCACTTTCAAATCCCTGCGGTACCCCAACATCTCTGAAATCCCAGGTGCTATTTCGAGGGGAAACTTGCATGGGAACTTCCTGCGTTGAAGGTCACATGGAACATGATTTATAACAGATTCATGCAAACGGTGCTTCGGCCACGAGGCGCTCGCTTGGGAACACAAGTTGTGGAGAACTGGCTGTGAAGCCCACCACGGCACCAGGAAATGCCTCAGATGGTTTCAATATTGTTTTGCAATTGAGAAGTCAGGCAGGCAGGTTCCTGGGGAGGTGGGGACAGGACCTGTCCCCATCCCTGTTGCTGTCCCTGTGGGAGCTGACACGGCTCCCCCTGTGCCAAGCCCGGTGCCATGTTTTCAGCTCTGGGTTATTTCAGACGTGAAGCCTGGCTGGGCGTTTGCCCCGAGCTCAAGCCCCAGTGCAGGACAAATTTTTCCAGCAAAAGATTGACTTTATAAATCAATTACACCGAACTCATTTTCATAACAATGGTGAAAAGTTAGTGATTTAAAGATGCAAATTCACAGATGAACATTTCTCAGTGGAAAGGCTTTGGGACATTTCTAATCGAGTTCTGAACTCCACAAGAGGATTTCTCAATTCTAAAGCCCAAAGATGTAAAAAATGTTGTGTTGTATGAACACAAAAATCATTCACAGCAGGAGATTACATCTTATGTAAACCTGGCTGTGGGCACAGGGCTGAGCTGGGTTCAGCTACGGTCGCAAACCGCAGCGGTGCTGCTCGGGTGATCCTCCCGCTCCCCTGGCTGCTGCGAGCCTGAGCTCTGAGGGATAATTGCTGTGTAAGTGCTAATCTCACCCCTCACCCCTCTAATGTGCCTTTAACGAGAGTTTCTGCTGCTGCGGCCAGAAGCTGCTTTTGCTTTTAGGCTGTTGGGGGGTCCCGCTGGGTGCGGGGGGCTGCCCTGGCCCCGGGAACCCGCCGCCTGGGTTCACATCCCATCACAAAAGGGCGCTTCAGCTCGTGCTTTTGGTTTCCACCTTTGAGCTCAGCTGCCATCTCCGAGGGTCCGTTCCAGTTGGCCAGCGAGTGGCAGGAGGAGCCTGGGCTTGTGCCGTGTGTGGGGCATTGATACACAAAGGCTTAAATTCTAAGCCTTAAATCAAAGTTGACTTTTGAATGAACTTCCCAAGCTGTACCATAGTAGCATGAAACGTGACCGTGAGACTCTTCCCAACCTGCATCACATCAACATAAAGTAAAACCGTGAAACTTTTCCTCCTACAATCCAAAGCCAGATGTGTTCTACCAAAATAGGAGCTTCTCAAATTGTCCCAAATCCTGCCCAGATCTGGGATGTGCCCATGTGCAGTGAAGCCAACCCAGCAGACGTTCCCGTGCCTTTCTCTCTGTGTAATTAGTTTGTTAGATGTATAAAAGCAGGACCCTCTCACAGTGAAGATGGAGACCTCACCTAGGAGTGGACACACTGTGTAGGACTTCCCAACTGCTGGGAAATGT